CCGGGGACAGCCCCGGGAGAGCGGGGACAGCCCCTCCGCCCTCCGTGCCTCAGTTTCCCCTGCCGTCGCTGCTTACTCATCGCCATCGATCCCATCGATCCCACCGGGGCGGGGCGGGCTGGGTGGGCTGGGGGGGACACGCCAAACAACCTTTTCCCCCCCAATTCTGAGGCCGGCCCGGGTTCGCCCCTCCCGGCTGCGCCCCCAGCGCCCGGGGGTGCTGCGGGCAGCGGGGGAGCGCCCCCCGAAAAAAACGAACCCCAAACCCCCAAACTTTCTTTGGAAGTGGAAATAAAACCTCGGGAAGCCGCCCGGGGGGGCCGGGGGTGGGCGAGTGCCAAGGGAGGAGGAGGAGGAGGAGGAGGCGGCAGGACGGGACGCGGGCACGGGCAGCAGCCGCCCGCGCTCCCGCAGCACCGGCAGCGCCCCGCAGGTTTGGGGGGACCCCCGGACCCCCCAGAAAAAGCGGCCATGGGCATCCAGGGCATGGAGCTGTGCGCCGTGGCCGTGGTCATCCTCCTCTTCATCGCCGTGCTGAAGCAGTTCGGCATCCTGGAGCCCATCTCCGTGGAAGGTACCCCCCCCCCGGCCTCAATTAACGCCAATTAGTGAGTTAATGGAGTGATCGCCCCCGCCGCGGCCGTCCCCGGGCGGCAGGACCGGGGATCCCCCCGGGAGGGTCTGGGGGAAGGCGGAGGATTTGGGGGGCACGGGAAGGGCCCCCAGCCCCCCCCGGCCCAGCCGTGCTCCGGCCGTGGGGACCCCCACCCCAAAACAGCCGGGGATGGAGACCCCACCCCAAATATCCAGAGGATGGAGACCCCACCCCAAACACCTGGACATGGGGACCTCCACCCCAAATATCTGGGGATGGGGACCCCCACCCCAGAGACCACCCCAAAGCAGCCGGGGATGGGAACCCCATCCCAAATATCCAGGATGGGAACCCCCACCCCGGAGCACCCCCTGCGCCCCGTTAACCCCCCGGAGCAGGTAACGGGACCCCCAGTGACCCCCAAAGCCCCTGGGATTGACACCAGGGACCCCCACTGCCCCCCGGGCCCCCCGAGACCCCTCACACCCCGAGCTGGGGATTCCCCCCTCCGACAGCGCCGGGAGCGTTCCGGGCCCCAGTCCCAAAAGTGCTGACACCCCCTGCGCCCAGCGGCCCCGAGGGGCTTCCCGGGCTCAAATTATTCATGAAGCATCATTTATTAATTACCTTCCGCCGGGCCGGGCGGCAGCGGCGGCGGCCGAGAGGCGGCTGGGGACGTTCGGTGCCTCGGGAATGCGGGAAAAGCCCCGGGCACGGCAGCCGC